AATTTAAGGTTGCCCCAAAACTCCATCAGTGAAATGTTTGGCGGGCCCGGGCTGGGGATTCGAACCCACCACCTTAGGTGTACGTGGCTGGCGCCTTAGCCAGTTGAGCTATAGGCGCCGAGCCCATTTTCTTATTTTCAAAATAAATGTTAACTGAAACAAAAAGTGCTGCCGGTGGCGACTGCCACGCCCACAGGGAAGGTCTGCCCGGGACAAGGGATGTTAGGGCCACCTCAAGAAAATGCAGCGGCGATGGGGGGTGTCGTGAAACTCGCTCACAGGCCGCATGGCGGGTACCCAGACAACAGCCCGCGCACCTACGGCCACTGATGCTTATCGATGTCTCCGTCGCTGACATCTTCACCCTGACCCAACAGCGCAGAGTTCCCGCTCCACACCTACAGAAGCGGAGGCTCGGCGTCATCTGGCCACGCGGCCAGCAAGTGCAGAGTCGGGTGCCCCAGCGCTGGGCCCAGATAGCAGGAGCCGGCACCTGGCGAGGCCCAGACGCCGCGGACCCTACCTGCGCTAGGCCTCAGGCCTCTGGCCGCCGTCGGGCCGTCGTCGCCGCCGCCGCCTCAGCCAACCCCGAGGGCCGCAACCCGCCACAGCGCCCGGCCCCCGCGGCCTCGATGCCGCCCCGGAAGTGGTTGCGGGAGCGCACGGAGCACGCCGGGACGCTCGCGGGTCCAAGTCTGGGCAGTTCCCCGGAGCTGTGGAATTTGCAGCCTCTCCCTCCGGCCTTCCTGTCAGCTTGCCCCGCGAGTTGTGTGGCGCCCACAGCAGCCAATGATGAGAGACTGTGTTCCCGGTCCCGCCCCCTACTGAAGAGGGGAACCAATCCTATTACAAGAGAAACAGGATGCCACAAGTCCCGGAAAGGGAGCAAAGGAGAAAGCCTCAGGCAGACCGCTCAGTAACGTAAGGCTCTGTTGGGGGGAAGGTGATATAATAAGGTGGGGTGACAGCCTCTGTATGCGTGCTGCGACCCGAGGGGGCATACGTGATCCGAGTGCCGCGTTGGATGGTGTTTATAGCCCTGCCAGGACAGCGTCGGAAGTGAGGCGGCGGTTTGAGGCGAGGGGCCTCAGGGCTGCCGCAGCTGCAGATATAAACGTCAAGAGTTGGCTGGGACAGAGGAAATCAGAGCCTGGGCGTGGGTGAGAGAATGGGCAATAGGCTTTCGGGTTTCCCAGGTTTAGATTTTACAATCGCCACTCGGAAGGCCGTTGGCGTCTGGTTGCCATAACAACCGCCTGCCTCCAGGCGGGCGGGGCGGGGCGGAGCTAACGGGCTGCTGCCAGGGCAGGGCCTGCGACAGCGACCTTGCTGGCTGATGAGTAGAGCTCCTCTACTTCGCCTTCAAGACCCTTCACCGTCCTGTCCGTTTTTACTGCAGAGGTCAGCAAACGTGTCGGGCATTTTTCACTTCTCTAGGCCTCTCTCTACGTACATTTCCCTCTGCTGGTAAAGCCTTTCCCAGCTCTATTGTCTCATTCGCCCTAAAGAACTTAGAGTCTCCAGTGGTCTTCTCCTGGGCGATTCTGTGCCCTTACAGAACAGAACCCCACATCCTCTGGTGTGTGTACCAAGTGTGCCCCCACCCTGCTGCTCCCAGCTCAGGATGCACCAAGCATTTGCCCTTGGTCTTTTTTTTTTTT